AATCAGTTCAGTTCAGTTCAGTCACTCAGTCGTGTCCAACTCCCTGCGATACCATGAACCACAGCAGGCCAGGCCTCCGTGTCCATAACCAACTCCCGGAGTTTACTCAAACTCATGTCCATTCAGTCGGTGATGCCACCTAACCATCTCATCCTCTGTCATCCCCTTCTCCTCCTGCTTTCAATCTTTCCCAACATCAGGGTATTTTCCAATAAATCAGTTCTTCCCATCAGGTGACCAAAATATTGGAGTTTCAGCTTCAACATCAGTCCTTCCAACGAACACCCAGGACTGATTTCTTCACTTTCTGAAGAAAGTTCTTCTTCACTTTCTGCCATAAGGGTGGTGTCATCTGCATTTCTGAGGTTATTGATATTTCTCCCAACAATCTTGATTCCAGCTTGTGCTTCATCCAGCCCAGCATTTCTCATGATGTACTCTGCATACCAGTTAAATAAGCAGGGTGACAATATACAGCCTTGACGTACTCCTTTTCCTATTTGGAACCAGTCTGTTGTTCCATGTCCAGTTCTAACTGTTGCTTCCTGACCTGCTTACAGGTTCTCAAGAAGCAGGTCAGGTGGACTAGTATTCCCATCTCTTTCAGAATTTTTCACAGTTTATTTTGATCCACACAATCAAAGGCTTTGGCATAGTCAATAAAGCAAAAATAGATGTTTTTCTGGAATTCTCTTGCTTTTTCGATGATCTAGTGGATGTTGGCAATTTGATCTCTGGTTCCTCTGCCTTTTCTAAATCCAGCTTGAATATCTGGAAGTTCACGGTTCACGTATTGCTGAAGCCTGGCTTGGAGAATTTTTGCATTACTTTACTAGCGTGTGAGATGAGTGCAATTGTGTGGTAGTTTGAGCACTCTTTAACATTGCCTTTCTTTGGGATTGGGATGAAAACTGACCTTTTCCAGTCCTGTGGCCACTGCTGAATTTTCCAAATTTGCTGACATATTGAGTGCAGCACTTTCACAGCATCATCTTTTATGATTTGAAATAGCTCAACTGGAATTTCATCACCTCCACTAGTTTTGTTCGTAGTGATACTTCCTAAGGCCCACTTGACTTCACATTCCAGAATGTCTGGCTCTAGGTGAGTGATCACACCATCATGCTTATCTGGGTCATGGAGATCTTTTTTGTATAGTTCTTCTGTGTATTCTTGCCACCTCTTCTTAATCTCTTCTACTTCTGTTAGGTCCATACCATTTCTGTCCTTTATTGAGCCCATCTTTGCATGAAATGTTCCCTTGCTATCTCTAATTTTCTTGAAGAGATCTCTAGTCTTTCCTTTTCTGTTGTTTTCCTCTATTTCTTTGTATTGGTTGCTGAGGAAGACTTTCTTATCTCTCCTTGCTATTCTTTGGAAATCAGTCAGTCCTGAATATTCATTAGAAGGACTGATGTTAAAGTTGAAATTCCAATATTTTGGCCACCTGATGTGAAGAACTGACTCATTTGAAAAGACTCTAGTGCTGGGAAAGATTGGAGGCAGGAGGAGAAGGAGACGACAGAGGGTAAGATGGATATGTGTTTGAGGAAGCTCCGGGAGTTGGTGATGGACAGGGAGGCCTGGAGTGCTGCAGTCCCTGGGGTTGCAAAGAGCTGGACACGAGTGGGTGGGGCATAGACTTAGATTACTGTCATGCTGAATGGTTTGCCTTGGAAATGAACTAAGATCATTCTGCCAGTTTTGAGGTTGCTCCAAAGTATTGCCTTTCAGACACTTTTGTTGACTATGAGGGCTACTCCATTTCTTCTAATGGATTCTTACTCACAGTAGTAGATACAATGATTACCTGAATTAAATTCACCGATTCCCATCCATTTTAGTTCACTAATTTCTAACATGTAATGTTCACTAACATCTACTAAAAAGCAGATGTTCAGTATTGCCATCTCCTCCTTGATCAGTGGCTTCATTCTTTCTGAACCTGTTAGTAATTGCCCTTCATTCTTCCCCAGTATCATATTAGACACCTTCCAACCTGGGGGGCTCATCTTTTTTTTTTTTGGGGGGGGGGTGCTCATCTTTTAATGTCATATGCTTTTGTCTTTTTGTACTGTTCATGGAGTTCTCCTGGCAAAAATACTGGAGTGTGTTGCCATTGCCTCCCCCAGTGGACCACATTTTGCCACAACTCTTCACTATGACTCATCTGTCCTGAGTGGCCCTGCACAGTATGGCTCATAACTTCACAGAGTTATGCAAGTCCATTCACCATGAGAAGGCTGGTACCAGTGACAAGAGTATTCATTTTAATTTAATCTAATAAACATAAGATAGTGTTGTTTTTTCAACTTGGTCAACTTGATGGGTGAAAAAAAAAGAAACTTGCTTTAGTTTCCATTTTGTATAATTAATAAAGTAAATTTTTATATATTAATTGACCATTTTATTTATTTTGTAAGTTGCCTGTTTCATGTCACTGGTTACTTTTCTATCTGGATATTCATCTTCTTATTATTGATTTTGGGCTTCCCAGGTGATGCTAGTGGTAAAGAACCTGCCTGCCAATTCAGGAGACATAAGAGACTTGGGTTCAATCCCTGGATCAGGAAGATCCCCTGAAGGAGGGCTCGGCAACCTCCAATATTCTTGCCTGGAGAATCCCACAGACAGAGGAGCCTGGTGGGCTACAGTCCATAGGGTAGCAGAGTCGGACATGACTGGGGCAACTTGGCATGCAGGCAATGTTGATTTGCTTTTTATATGTGAAAAATATAAATTCCTTATATGTTGCAAACAAATCCTTAGTTGTCATCTGCCTGTACATTTTATTTACAGTGTCTTTTCTTTTGCAGTTTTTTGGTAATTAGAGCTCTGAAGTGACCTGCTCTCTCATTAGACCATTTAGCAACATTGTCCCCCTTCTTTAGCAACACAATCAGAGAGGATCTATGGTTATTTGGACTAGCCTTCAAAGCCTGTGCTTTACTTAAATTTTAAGACAAAAATCTCTGTGTTTGAAAATCACCAAAATCCATATGTGAATAGCCCATATTATATATAATAATATCCCTCTGTTTTTTGTTTTGGACTCCATTTTTTTTAGAACAGTTTTAGAATCACAGAAAAATTGTGGGAAAGAAATAGAGATTTCCAACATATCCCCTGTCTGCACACATGCACAGCCTCCTTCATTATTCCTTTTCATTTTTAAATCAGTTGGTTTTAAGACGCTATTAAGACCATCGTAAAAAAGGAAAAGGCAAAAACGTTTGCAGATTATACATAGAATAAGGGATGAATATCCAGAATATATAAAGAACTCACACAGCTTAATGGCAAAAAACACAAACAATCTGACCAAATAGACATTTTTCCAAAGAAGACATACAAAGGGTCAACAGGTACATGAAAAGGTGTCCAACATCACTAACCATCAGGGAAAGGCAGATCAAAACCACAATGAGATATCACCTCACACCCGCCAGGACTAAATAAAAAGATAAAAGATGAGAGAGGACACATGTTGGTGAGGATGTGGAGAAAACGGAACCCTTATGCACTGCCCATAGGAATGTAAACTGATACCACCACTACAGAAAACAGTGTGGTGGTTCTTCAGAAAACTAAAAATAGAGCTATATAATTTCCAGGAATTATATTTTGGGGTATACACATGAAGGAAATGAAATTACTATTTCAAATATGCACATATATATATGTATACATATGTATACATATTTCCAGGCAAGAATGCTGGAGTGGGTTGCCATTTCCTTCTCTAGGAGATCTTCCCAACCCAGGGATTGAACCTGGGTCTCCTGCATTGTAGGCAGATGCTTTACCGTCTGAGACACCAGGGAAGAAATTTTATATACACATATAAAATTCAGCCATGAAAAAGAGGGAAATCCTGCCATTTGTGATGATATGAATGAACTTTGACAGTGTTATGCTAAATGAAATAAGTCAGAGAAAGATAAGTACTATACGATCTCATTTATATGTGGACTCAAAGAAAAAAAAACAGCTCATAGAACAGATTGGTGGTTGTCAGAATCAGGGGATGGAGGAGGTAGGTGAAGTGAGTGAAGGTGGTCAAAGGTACAAACGTCCAGTTATAAAATAAATAAGTCCTTGGGATGTAATGGATGACATGGTGACTACAGTTAACAATACCACACTGTATATTTGAAAGCTGCTATGAAATTTCCCTGGTGACTCAGATGATAAAGAATCTGCCTGCAATGCGGGAGACCCAGGTTCGATTCCTGGGTCGGGAAGATCTGAAGAAGAGGATAGCAACCCTCTCCAGTATTCTTGCCTGGAGAACTCCATGGACAGAGGAGCCTGGTGGGCTACACTCTATGGGGTGGCAAAGAGTCAGACATGACTGAGCAACTAATGTGAGAGTAGATCTTGAAAGTTCTCATCATAAGAACAAAAATCTGTAACTATTGAGGGGATGGATATCGACTATTTCATTGAATTTTGCCAACAACCTCAATGAGCCTGGAAGCGAGCTCTTCTCAATAGGAGACCAGGCCAGCTGACACCCAGATTTGGGCCTTATCACATAGAGCTCAGCCATGCCATCAGACTTCTGACCCAAGAACTAGGATACAATAAATGGGTGTTGTTTTAAACCTCTAAATGCGTGTGAATTGTCACAGCAGCAACAGAAAACGAATGCAATAAGATTTGAGATACATAAGGAAGGAACAGAGGGGCCTTCAGATGTCACTTGGAACCTAACTCCATGTCTGGCATTTGTATCGCATCCAGATTTTCAAAACAAGGTCCCATGTATCCTCTCACCCTATCTCCCCATGAACACTGAGAAGAAGGCTGAGGGAAAAGACCAACTCAGGTCTTCAGTGAAGATCCTGAGGCAGAGGGAGGTCTGTAGCTGGCCTGCCATGGTGTGTCTGCTGAGTGGGAGGACAAAGGTTAGAACTCCAGACTCGTGGCTCCGAGCCCAGGAACCTTTGTGAAACCACCAGAGGAAGGAGGTGTTAAAGAGCAGACTGTTTGCTCACCTTTCTGTAGATGGCAAATATGGTTCCAATGGAAGCCAGGCAGTCGATGTTGGAAGATCCGTCCAGTGGGTCAAAGCAGACCACGTATTTCCCCTACATGCACAGAGGGCAGAACACCTGATCAACAGAGGTCAACACACTCTGTGGAAGTCAACACACTCTGTAAGTGGATGAGTCTGGCAGGGAACACCCCATCAAAAGCAATTTAGAGCAAAGGGATATCCTTATCAAAAACTACAATTGCTTAAGGAATGCAGAGCATATCCACATATATTAATTGTGCAGCTCAGAGCTCATTTGCCCATAAATAGATTAGCTGATGCTAATGGAGGTCCCACCTACCCCTAAATATCTTTGCTCCCACCTACCCTGGCTTCATCCTCCCCTCCTACCTGGGACCACTGGGAACTTGGAATTGCTGAAGGTGCGAAAGGAAACCAGGTCTGTACTGGGCACCATGCTGGAAGGAGTTGGAGAAGCTGAAGATAAACTTGGGCAAGTTCTACCTAAGTTCATAGTGAGGTCGTTATTGAATTGTTGATACATCCAGCTTCTCCTGGAGACAGGCTTTCTTCATTTTGGCACATTGTTACCAATAGAAAAGTTCAGAACAAGGTCCCTGGGCCTCTGGGCCTCTCTTATTAAGATAGTAGCTGTATGTAAGTACATCAGCAGAATAAAAGTATTCCTTTGGGTTTTGCTGCATCCACCTTTCCTTTCTGATGTGAAGACCAGAAGACAGACCAGGTGGGGTCCTGAGATACCAGGTCCCTCGTGTCTACACACACTGCTGTCACAGACAACTCGGTAGAAAGAAATCACCAGATACTTTTTATGGACCTCCTAGGTACAAGGTTCTGTGAGAGCCTTAATGATGGGGACTGGGGTCTCCTGGCTGATTAAATACTGCCAGTACAACATCAGGTAAAATGGGAATCATTTCTCCCACTGCTTAGCTACTTTACCCCTGACTTTCCAATGAGTACTGCCCTAGCTTAGTTTGGCTTTCCTTTCTTTCCTTCCTTCTTTCTTTCTCAATAGGAGGTAGGGGAGGGGGAGTGGAATCCATAAACTTGGAAATCTTTCATTCTCCCTGTAGATAATCCAAATCAGCCCATTCATTCATGCATGCATTCAGCAGTTATTCGTTCAACGTCAAGCACACACTGGAGAATGTTCAGGAGTTGCTGTGACAGTTGAGTTGAGAATAACAGGTGTAACTTAGCCTGAATTACGTGAAACAACAAATACAAAGGGCTTTTGCACAGTCCCCAGTATACAGTAAGTGTTTAATAAATTTGGCTTTCCTTTTTCCATCCTTTCAGTTAATCATAAAGAAATGGCATCTTGTCCCCAAGACCCAGTGCATAAAACAAGAGCCAAAAGTGCTGACATTTATTTGGTATTACTGTATCACAACTGAACATGGGTTGGATTTTTGGCCACGAATTTTTTAAAAAGTAAACTGTGGAACCATACTGATTATACACCCTCCCCAGGCATGCCATCAACTAAACAAGTTTACCATTGTATTAAGGCAAGAGCAACAATCTTTACAATTTCTTTTCTGTTTTAGTCTAACAGATTGTCAGGCCTGAAGAAATCTCTGCTAGAACCAAGCCCCCTTGGGGAAGGGGCGAGGATTGTGGGGATGAGAAGAGTAAAACACCAAAAATATCGATCTTCCCAGGAACTCTACTTTTTACTGGACCTGATTATCAAGCTCCAAAACGTTGGGATTTGTTACTAGTACATTAGGTGAAAACCCAAGATGAACCCTGTCCACTGATAAGTTTCGGTAAAGCACTGATTTATTTCCTGAATGAATCATTTGCTTATTATGGAGTCTTTTTGACCAGACAACATAAAACTTCAAAGTGAAGAAATATGCAAGCCATCGTTTCTGGAAAACAAAAATTAAGCAATAGAAGAAAATCCCAGAAACTAAAATAAAGCAAGGCAATCAAAGATTCTTTCCAGTTCGGTTGCGCCCTCTAATGGTGAATAGAAGAACCTCAGCCCTGCGGCCACACGTACCCTCTTCTCCTTGGAGGTGATAATGGCCTCTTTATTCTCTTCCGACACCAGGACGCAGGTGCTGTAGGAGGACTGGAGCATGTTGATCACCAGGGCGTTGGATAATACGTCCAGTTTCTTCACCTCATCCCCCGTCACGTTCACGCTTCCCGCGATTCCGTACCTAAGACGGCAAAAAGCTGCAGGAAATCAGGAAGGGAGCCCAGACTCCAGCGAAGATGCCAGGACGCCAAGACACCTCCCCTGTATCCCTCTTTTCCCTTCATGGCTCCAGGGTCTCCAGATTATAAATATGACCGAGTGCGTCCTGTCTCACAGCGCTGGTTCTTACCCTGACTCGGAGCCGCTATTGCAAGTCCCTAGTCACCCCAGTAACACTACAGCATTCAATCTTACTCATGTACAACTCTGCCCCACCCCCGCCTCCCTCGGGGCCCTGAAAGATGGAGGGGGTAGTTCATAAAGTCAGACACATCACCATAATTAAAAACTTTAAAAAGTAAAGGACTGTGGGTTTCCAGCCTTGGAATTTCTAGTATTTGTTAATTGTCCTCAAATAGTGGCCTGTTGGGCTGAATTAAAAACTGTTCTGCTGGTAGCCTGCCATTACTTGAATAAAGAAGGAAATTAGGGGTAAAATTTAATTTGGTTCTTTATCACCATTACCAAGCAATATAAGAAACAGTGCCAGTGTAAAAATTCTATTTGGGTGCTTTGGGTTATAGAATTGCTATCTAAAGCCTCCAGCTGCCGTCCTCGTGGGTAGGAACCTTCTGAGAAGCCAGTCGGATCACCCCCACCTCTCCCAGAGCCCCCAAGTCCCCCACACTTGGCTTCAGACCCCATCAAGGAAGCCCTGGCCCCACACTTGGCCTGGCCTCTTAGCCTTTCTCCCTCAGCCTCTGGAAGCCTGCGTGGGCACGCGCCTGCCTCCCATGGGCTCCTGGTTCACTGTCCCCGGGCTCCGTGCTCATCTCTCACTCCCCTCCAGCCTTCCACATTCCAACAGCCGCAAAGGTCCTGAGGCCACCGGCACCCCGCAAGCTGCTGCTCTCCTTCCCACCTTCAGTCACGGGGTGTCCCCCCACCCCATGGGAGTGCTTTCTGCCCACCGACAGCTTAGCCCTCCTAACCCCTTCTAGAAGCTTCCATGGTCCCACCACATACCAGGCCTTCCACAGCAGCTCACAGTCTGTTCATGGGAATGCCCTCCCTGCTGGACTGACTGCTCACTGCAGACAAGGGCTATGACTCACTGTGCCTATTTCCACAGTGCTCAGAGGCTCAGTACACCTTCTCTGAATTACAAAGAATGGATGGCAGGAAAGTAATTCCTACCTCTCCTTTTTGTTAACACCATTTATTTATTGAAAGATTCTTCAAGTGTTTCTAACAAGTAGCCAGGGTTGAGAGCCACTGATTTACCCTAAACCTGGAGACAACTCATTTCCCACCCCTTTCCCCGACTGACAACATCTCCCCTCTCCCCAACAGGTGTCCCCCATCACTTGATGTCTGATGTGATGAGCTCTGCCTTGGAAAATGATACTGGTAGACTGACCTCAAAGACTGTACCTCCTGCTTCAAAATAAAAGCAAACAAGCACACAACAGTGACAAAACTAGACTGTTCTGCGTCAGCGTTCACAGAGTTCACAAACCCTGGGAACTCAGTTTTCCTGTTTAATGCAGCTTCTACTGGAGAATGAAAAGCTGGGGTGCCTGGGGCCTGTGGGTGGTGGGGAAGAGAAACAGGCTCTCTGTTCTGTGCTTTGCAAACACCTCTCCCCACCACCACACTAATCCTGCCCTTACTTTACCCCTCAGGCCACCCTGTGCACCCTCCGTGCAGGAACTGGGCATATTGCTCTATCTCCTTCCCTCCCCACAATCCCTCCATCAACACCTCTCCTTTCAGAAAGAATGGAAGCTCATTCACAAGAGATCTAATTGCCTGACAACTGCTCCAAGTTAGATCATGGACAGGAAAATGCTTTATAACCCACAGTATCTTCTTACTGCTTTTACCAACATTAAAATTTTACGGACAAATTTTAAATGAATTTTTCTGCATTTTGACATTAGGAAACTGTGGAGAGGATTCTGGGGTCAGCATTCCCTTCTTCCTACAGCAGGAAGCAGAGAAAAAAAGAAAAATATGAGACTTTCTGATTAGTTTTGCATTTATGGAGTATGTGCCTAGAAATATCTTCCAAAAAAGAGTAAGCAGAGGAATGAGGGGCTTGAAGCCCCCTAAATGGGAAAGCGACAGAAATATCTGAATTGGCAGAACACATGGTCTCTGCCTAACTGAAGAATCCTGCCTCTACCCTCTGATCAAGTGTGAAATTCTGACATTTTGTTTCCACGGGCTGAGCCCGCCACCTAGCGGTCAGTTGGCAATATCAACCTGTTAGCCCGCAAATTTCCCCAAGGTTTGGACCTGAGTTTGAGCAATCTCCAGGAGTTGGTGAAAGTCTGGCGTGCTTCAGTCCATGGGGTCGCAAAGAGCCAGATACGACTGAGCGACTTAACTGAACTGGACTTGGAACCCAAAAACCTCAGGTATGCAGATGATACCATTCTAATGGCAGAAAGAGAAACAGAACTAAAGAGCCTCTTGGTGAGGATGAAAGAAGAGAGTGAAAAGGCTGGCTTGAAACAACATCCAAAAAACTAAGATTATGGCATTCTGTCGCATCACTTCATGGCAAATAGTTGAGGAAAAAAGTGGAAACAGTAGCAGATTTTATTTTCCTGGGCTTCAGAATCACTGCAGCCACAAAATCAAAAGACACCTGCTCCTTGGAAGAAAAGTTATGACAAATCTAAACAGCATATTCAAAAGCAGAGACATCACTTTGCCAACCAAGGTCTGTATATTCAAAGCTATGGTTTTTCCAGTAGTCATGTATGGATGTGAGAGTTGGACTATAGAGAAAGCTGAGCGCTGAAGAATTGATGCTTTTGAACTGTGGTGTTGGAGAAAACTCTTGAGAGTCCCTTGGACAGAAAGGAAATCAAACCAGTCAATTCTTAAGGAAATCAGTCCTGGGTGTTCATTGGAAGGACTGATGCTGAAGCTGAAGCTCCAGTACTTTGGCCATCTGATGTAAAAAGCCGACTTATTGGAAAAGACCCTGATGCTGGGAAAGATTGAGGGCAGGGGGAGAAAGGGATGACAGAGGATGAGATGGTCAGATGGCATCATCAGCTCAAGGGACAAGACTTTGAGCAAACTCCAGGAGATGGTGAAGGACAGGGAAGCCTAGCATGCTGCAGTCCGTCGAGTCTAAGAGTCGGACATGACTGAGCGACTGAACAACAGCAAATAATGAGAACTTACTGAGCATTTATTATGGGGCTGGCAATGTCAAAATCATCATCACATGGACTTACTAAGCCTTATAACAGTCCCACAGGTTAGTTAGAGGATATTAGTATCCAAGCCATTTTACATTTTTATAGGCCCTAGCAAGAGTGGACCATTGATTTTAATCAGATGGCATGAAAAACCAAGTCAGAGGAACACGTGAATTGTCCAATCCCTAAATCCACTTCCTCTGGACACTACATGACCACGAAGTCAGAGTTCTGCAGCAATTAGCCACAACCCCTACCCTGGCCAGCCCCCTGCACAGGGGAGCCCATTCAGGTGAGTAACCCTCAGCAGGCAGCCCAGGGAACTGCTCTACACACAGCCCGGCTCACCATCAGGCAGGCGCAGAACAGAGGCAAGTGGCTGTGGCTCACACTCACGAAGGTCCTTAGAGGTGGAGTCGGTCATTACCGCCAAGCGAGGTACTAAGACAGTTAAAGCAATACACACAGAGGGGGGAAGCCAATCACAACGTCCTCTGACTTGGAGCTCATTGCTGGGTTACTGGGTTATGAAACTTCACATTAATATAAATAAATTCTGTAATTATCACATTGTTTTTGGTGTTAAAAGTGTTAAGTTGTTAAGAATAAATATTTTTTACTTTTTTTTTGGTCCCTTGGCTGCCAGGATCTTAATTCCCTGACCAGGGATTGAACCCATGCACCCTGCAATGGGAGCACAGAGTCTTAATCACTGAACCATTAGGGAATGCCCAAGAATAAATATTTTAAATTATTGGACTTGATTATTTCTTCATTTTGGAATAATAATAATAATGAATAATGGGGTCTCTTCATCTTCTGAGAGGACCTCCATTGGAATTGCTACCAGGAAAGTGGAAACCCAAAGACTGCTCCTTCTCACCACAGACTGGAACCGGACCCTTGGCTGTGAGGATCAGCAGCACAGCCTGAACTTGGCCTCCTGGGCTTGGGTGAAGCTCCAAGAAAGCAAAGTAGAAGAAGGCCCTTCATTCCCCACTCCCAGGCCAGCACCTCCCAGCGTCCTGCATACCAAGTGGACAGAAGCTTGAGTCATACAGAAGAAATAACAACTGGTTTTAAAAGCAAAACGCTTCTTTCAATGATGAACAGGAGATGGACGACGGGCCTTAAGATTTGGTAAATGAGAGAAAGAAAGATTCGGTAAATGATTTCTAGCTCCTGACAGCTATGGGCAAAGGCCGTGACAATAAAACCGCTCCTATCTGCCCAGGGCGTCAGGAGTCATCTCAAGTCTCCAGGTGGTTGCTTTGTACCAGTGAGAATGCAAATAAGAGTCACCTTGTCAGAGGTGGGCTTCCCTGTTGGCTCAGAGGGTGAAGAATCTGCCTGCCGTGCAGGACACCCAGGTTCAATCCCTGGGTCGGGAAGATCTCCTGGTGAAAAAAAGGGCAACCCACTCCAGTATTCTTGCCTAGAAAATTCTGTGGACAGTGGAGACTGGTGGGCTACAGTCAGTGGGGTTGCAAAGAGTCGGACATGACCAAACAACTAACAGATTTCAGATCTAATATGTTTTCATGGAACAAGCCCCCGAGCTTGTTGTCATTAGAATACACAGCGACTGGGAAAATGATGCTTTTTTTCCTCCATAGAATGTCTCCAAGAATTTTGTGCCTTTCCTGAAACAAGTCAAAGGCCCTCTTTTCAAAGCACACCTGGCAGAAACTTGAAAGACCATTTCCCTGCAGGGCGCTCGGGTTAATACTTTTGACCCAGTTTGCGGCCCAGACTCCTGCAGCTCTACCCACCCCCACCGGGCCGGGGTCGCAACGTGTCGTCCGGGATCTCACTCACAGGTTGGCCAGGCCCGCCTTGCGCACGGCTGAGGAAATGGCTTTGATGGCCGTCAGCATGGAGTTGAGCAGCTGCGTGAGCTCCCCGGTGCCTTTGGCCTGACGCCCCTTTTCCATAACGTAGCGGGTCAGGGTAAGCATGTCCGTTTCGAAGGGGCTTCTATCCCCCATGGCGGCGGGTAAATTTTCAGATTCTTTTCTCACGGCAGAAGAAAGCCTTATCTCTAAGGGCTGATCAGTGCCTCTGCAGTTTCAGAGCTGATTAGAAATCTGTACCGTGGTGCCAGGACCTTTAAGGGAAACTGCCTCAGACCACGTGGTTGAGATAACTGGGCGAGCCCTCAAGGAAATCTCTCTGGCTGGCTGACCTGAAGGCTGCCAAGGCCCATAAGTCGGCTGTAAATAGAACCTGGAACACAGACCTGCTTTTTCTTGATGAACTTTTTTTCTTTAAAGACCCTAAGAAGCAATCATTTGGTAACAGGTAGGGGATGAGAAATCCAGCAACTAGAAAAATGATTCATAAAACTCTTATTCAAAGACTCAAAAGCATTTTTCACATGTATTTCCTGCAGGGTTTCATTCCTTCATAGGGCAGGAGTCAGATTGGCAGATAACTTATCTGGGGTATAGGTCACATAACAAAATATTGGCAATCCACTTAGCCAGGTTCCTTTCATATGTTTGAAAAGGATGCTTTTTAATTCCAAAAGGCCTATATGACTGAATGGATATTTATAGTTGATATTCAAATCTGGAAGAAAAAATATTCCCAGCACAGTGCCTAACACCAGAGCTACTTTATTAATTCTTTATTTTTTCAATTTCTCTACATTTGTATTTTCAAAACAAAAATAATACTTGCTTATTGGAAATGAAACACTATGGAAACGGACCATCCCCTAAACCACCCCCTAGAAATAGCTGCATTAGAGCTGGTGGGGTCTGTACTGGTAATGGGCTTCCTTGTGGCTCAGACAGTAAAAAACTCACCTGCAATGAGGGAGACCTGGGTTCAGTCCCTGGTCTGGGAAGATCCCCTGGAGGAGAGCATGGTAACCCACTCCAGTATTCTGGCCTGGAGAATCCCCATGGACAGAGGAGACCGGAAGGCTACAGTCCATGGGGTCGCAAAGAGTCAGACACGGCTGAGCGACTAAGCACACACAGTAGTAGTAATAGGCACCTCAGGCAGGGGTGTGGGTGGGGTCTGCATGGGGTGGTCCAAGCACTGTCTCTAGGAGCAGAGAGAACCTGGCGCCAGGTTCCAGGCTAACCATCTGCTAGTTGTACAATTTGGAAAAGCTCCTGAAGCCTCAGTTTCCTCACTTATAAGTGGTGAAAACAATAAAACATCTACCTTTACAGATTGTGAGGCTTAACAGTGATAAGGTATGCTTGTCACACAGTAGGTGCCCAATACTGGTTAATTACTATTACCCTTCCAATTTTTTGATGTCTGTATCACTATTATGTATACATATACAATTTCATTTTACAAAATAGGACACTATGCACATTGCTGGGCAATTTGATTTTTTCCTTTGACAGTTACTTCAATTGGAATGTGTTTAGATGCAAGTAATAGAAAATGTAGAGTGGTTTAAATATGTGGGAAGTCTCACATATTTCTCTCATATTTTCTCCGAGGCAGCAGCTGGCACTCATATAGCTGGTCAAAAGTTCCATTAGGAACCTCTCTGTCTCCTCTCTGTAATCCTTGGCCAGTGGGCTTTTGCCTCCATGCTTACCATCTCATGGGCACAAAATGGGTACTGCAGCTCCAAACATCTAGCGCACATTGAAGATTCAGAGAGGAGAAGGCAGCTTCAACCATATTAGTTCTCTTTTATTAGGAAATAAGTAATTCCCCAGAAACATCCATTACCACCCCTCACCGCTGTCCTGAATAACCTTCCACTTTTGTAGCATTGGCCAGATGGGTGATGCTTTGCTGCAAGTGTTGGACACTGGTATTGAATCAACCAGTCTTAAGTGTCTACCACAGCAAAACATCTTTGTGTCAATGCACAGAGACATACCACATTCCCATGTGTGGACAGTTGGATTTTTTTTAAATGTTTGTTCTTCCAACAGTGCTGCACCACGCTTCCTTACCTATGCGCCAGTGCTTCAGTAAGATACAGCTGGAGAAGACGAACTGCTGTGTCAGAGCATTTTAATTTTGACATCACCAGGATCTAAATTTCTTTAAGAACATAAGAAAACTTTCTTTTACTTCCCCAACAGTTTCTGGGAATTGTGAGGACTGTAGAATGGAACTTTCTTTGGTCCTCATGTATCATGTTGCCATCCATAAGTAATTCAGTTTTGTCCTTCACACGGGAGATCAACCATAACTCTTCAGACATAATTATAGAAAGGGCTGTGGCTGGGTATTAGGCTATCTGGGTCAGTAATTGGCTGTAACTGAAGAGACTGGCCTGGTTGCTTGGTTTCCAGGTTTCCTTTGAAGTTGAATGTTATCATCTGATTAAGGGTGCTTCCCCCACAGTTGTACAAAACAATTCCACTCAGAGTGGACCATCACATCTCTTCTAGAGAAATGAATGCATATGTTCATGCCAAAACCCATTCATAAATATTTATGACAGCTCTATTTATAATTGTCAGAAACTGCTAACACCCAAATGCTCCTCAATGGTGGTAAAGAAACTGTGGTATTAATAGATGCACAAAATAGAACAATATTCAGCAATGAAAAGGAACAAACTACTGGTACAAACTGCATGTGGCACTGGGATGAATCTCAGAGACATTATGCAGGTGAAGGAAGCAAGCTTAAATGACTATATGCTGTATGATTCCATTTATATGATATTCTCAAAAAAACAAAACTATAGTCAGAGACCAACTTCATTGCTGCCAGGTTAGTTGGTGTGGGCAGGGAGGATGGAACAGGGAATTCTTTGCTGATGAAACTGTTTTATATCCTGATTATGGTGATGGCAACTTGAACCTATACATGTGTTAAAATTCATAAAACTATTCATTTAAAAAACATTATTTTACTGTCAAGTGAAACTCTATGCCTGTTAAACAATAATTCTCTCTTCCCCGCAATCCCTAGTCCCTGGCAACCAGTATTCTACTTTCTGTCTCTATAGATTTGATTATTCTAGGTGCTTTATATAAGTGGGGTCATATAATATTTCTCATTTTGTGACTGATTTATTTCACTCAGCATCATATTTTCAAGGTTCATCCATGTTGTAGCATGTGTATGAATCTTCCTTTTTAAGGCTGAATGATATTCCACTGGTGGATATATCACATTTTGTTTACCCATTAATCCATTGAGGGGCAGTTTGTTTCCACCTTTTCCTATGAATAATGCTATCATATCCATTGTAGGACAAATACATGTTCAAGTCCCTGCTTTCAGTTTTTTGAGTACATACTCAGAAGTAGAATTGCTGGGTCTTATGATAACTCTGTATTTAACTTCTTGAAGAATCACTGTACCATTTTCCACAGAAGCTGCACCTTCCCACCAGCAGTGCACAAGAGTTCCAGTGTGTAGACATCTTTGCCAAGAATTTTTTTTTAATTTCTTTGTTTTTATTTTTGGCTGTGCTGGGTCTTTGTTGCTGCAAGCAGGCTTTCTCTGGTTGTGGTGAGTGGGGACCACTCTCTAGTTGCGATGTGCAGCCTTCTTATTGCAGAGGCTTCTCTTTTTGCAGAGCACCGCTCTGCAGCACGTGGGCTTTAGTAGTCTTGCTGCACGGGCTTTGTTGCCCTATAGCATGTGAAATCTTCCCAGACCGGGGGTTGAATCTGTGTCTCCTGCATTAGCAGATGGATTCTTAACCACTGGACCACCAGGGATGTCCATGTGTGTTTGTTGGTTAATTTTTAACTAACAGCCATCCTCATGGGTATGAAATGGTATCTTATTGTGTCTTTAACTGGCATTTCCCTAATGATTTGTGATGCTCAGCATCTTTTCATGTACTTATTAGCCTTTCTAGTTTCCTTTTATTATGTTTTCTGAAAGTATTTGTTCACAAGAGATTGGAAATGAAAGTAACAAACAGACTAGTGCTTTATCACAGGCACCCAGAGTAGATAATTTGAGGATAGGAGGGAGAGTATTGGCTGGTGTCACCTCTAAGCAGTCAACCACTCGTTTATAAAGGGATCCAAGGCAGGGCTGCCAACCTCCAGCCTGGGCTAGGCTGGAGCAGCAATCCCACCTCTTTGCAACTGCACTTAAATGTCAGAAGTCTGAGTTACCCAGTGGTCTAAGATTGCAGCTGATGACCTTTCAGCAAATGCCAAAGTTCTTTCAGGGCACATGACAGGGTGGAAACACATTAAGAGCTATGGTGAAAGCCTGGAGGAAGGGAGAAGAGCATCAAGATCACATTTATTTCAGTGCTAAGGATACACTGGTGACCACAAAGCTATCTCTGGCCTTGCTCTGTTTAGTGAAAAATGCTCACAGACCTAAGTCTAATAAAGACAAGCAGACCCTTCTAATAGCTGGGATGATCTCATTTCTGCCTCAGGGCCCTTCACCCAAAGGCAGGGATCCAGAATGTGACTCTAGACTGTCAACTGAGGGACTATTCTTTGTTAGCAAAACTCTGTTAAGATGCTTTCTGTATACTGTCTCATGTAATCCCAACATAGTTTCTTATTTTACTTTGTTTTTGAAATTTTCAATCAGAGAAGATTTTGTTAGAACAAAACATGTGTTTAATTGCTCAGTTGGGTCTGACTCTTTGCAACCCCATGGACTACATACCAGGCTCCTTTGTCCATGGAATTTTTCAGGCAAGAATATGAGAGTGGATTGCCATTTCCTGCTGGAGGGAATCTTCCTGACCCAGGGGTTGAGCCCACATCCCATGCATCGCCTGCATTGGCAGGTGGATTCTTTACCACTGTGCCGCCTGGGAAGCCCCTATCACAATGCCATCAGGTAAAAATGGAAAAAAACAAATTGTAATGCAAAAAATTATGCAATTATGGCAAAATGTGTCAGAATATCTACACACTTGTCCCCATAGGACTCTAGTACTTACTATATACCTGAGCACTGACCGTTGAATGCTGTGCTAAACTGCTTCACATAGGGACTGTTTCTTTGCGAGACCACATCTTCCTTTTCTCATGCCTCAGTGAAATCGGCTTGATGCTTAAGC